GACGTCACTGGTTTTGTAGAGAGACGCGGCAGAGATGGCGCGGATAACCCGGGTGCCTTAATTGTGTATCTGCATCTTGGAAGACCCCTTCAATGTGGAAGGATTCCTAGTCAGTGTCGATGTTTACACTGCTGTGCCTAACACAGATGATCTGGATAGATTCGGGTGGTTGTCAATTGCAATTATGGCTTTGGTTGGGTGTTCTTCTTCATCATTTGTCCACGGACTCATTCTGACAGCACTTCAGACAGCAGTTGCATGCCCCGAGCTTGTGTACCATGCACCATGGTGTTGTTTTTGTAGAGACAGCACTTCAGACAGCAGTACGCTGTGGTCGACAAACATTCATTTTGGTTAAATGTGGAACAAGGGGGGTGATGCTGCTGCTGTAGTCGATTTGTAGTGCGTGGGCGTGNTACCATGCACCATGGTGTTGTTTTTGTAGAGACAGCACTTCAGACAGCAGTACGCTGTGGTCGACAAACATTCATTTTGGTTAAATGTGGAACAAGGGGGGTGATGCTGCTGCTGTAGTCGATTTGTAGTGCGTGGGCGTGTAGTTCAGTTGTGAGCATGCAAACGTGCTGCAGGGATTTAGGCCTGTCCTCCATCGGCCGTTTTGCTTGTATGACGGAGAATAAGAAGGTGGAATTACTTGAAATTAGTATAGAAATAAAGTTTGTGTATCTAAATCGAAAATAAAACGGCCGATGGAGGACAGGCCTACAGGGATTGCAGGTGTACCTCCTCGGGCTTGCGTACCCGTTTCTTGCTAGTAGTTTGTGTGTTCTCTAGATCTTCAGATGGCTCTAGGATGTTTGTGACCACGGACCGAGTCTTTGCTAGATTTTGGGATTAGTAACTGACACGAGTTTAATGTGAAGAAAAACAACAACAACGACAACAGTGGAAAGACTTCATGTTCATTTGACTGGCATCAGTATAGCAAATTTTGGTTCTTGCGCAAACACGTCAATAGCCCCTGTCGATTTTTTTGGGGGGGTCAGGGTGGGTCTTGTCAAAAAAAGTGCAGAATCGAAAAATCGAAAACAAGTCGGATTTTTATTTTTGATTTCGTGGTTTGGGTCTACGCAAATACCGCCGCCGCTAAAAAAAAAAAGGATTCGTGGCGAAATATCGAACAGACCGCGGGCGCACATTGCGGTTGTGCGGTGTTCACGGAAGCTGGTGCTGCCGCCCGCTGCACACGGCACCAGGCACACGACGAGACGCAGGGTCATTTTTCCGGATGACGGTGGTACGGCCTCGCACTGGAGTAGGTGCACGCCGTACCGCCGTCGCTCGCCGCAACACACGGGTGCAAATTGTGACAGCAGCTGCTCTCTGGTGCCTCGCCGAGACGACAGCGTTGGCTTGTGCGTTCCAAGCCGTCCACACTCGGCGTGGAGCATGCGTGAGAAGGAGCCGGCAGGAGTGGGAGGAGTTCATCAAACCTTTAGAGCAGGATGTGTCCTTCAAGACGTGGTATCGTATGAGCCCGAAGGAGTCGAAAGGGCTGTACCAGATGCTGCGGGGACGTCTTGAGTGCCATAGCTCCAAAGGGCGTGGCCACAACGGGACCATGTAGCTGGGGAGTGGGCGCTAGCTAGCACGTTGCGGTGGCTCGCAGGGCACGGCGTCAGCGCTGCGGCTGATGGTCCCCACATGGCCATGAGCACAGCATTTGCGAAGATCAAGAAAGGGCTGGATGCCATCAACGACTGTGGGAGGCTTCGGATAAAGTGGCCGAGAACGGAGCGGGAGCTGCAAGCGAAGGCGCGGGGGTTTGCTGCTCGGAGTTCCCAACTTTACCCTGTCCTGAAGCGCTGTGTGGGAAGCATTGGATGGACTCCTTGTCCGACGCAAGAAGCCTAGTATCACCGAACATCCGTGTCCAGATCGGTTCTTCTCAGGGCACAAGATGACAGTGGGCATGAACTACCAGGTGCGACAACTACATGGTTCGAACCTACCTAGCATGCAGTAGACTGTGTACACCAGTCAACAGCAGACTACCTGTACGAAAGTTGGGTTGTGCTGTTTAGGTCCATCGAAATGTGTAAAACAATCCCCTCTCCTTCTTAACCCGCTGCAGTACACCATTGGGGAACACAAGCACGCCATGACACCCGCCCCTGCCATCACACACTAACGTGGAGACAGAGTACGTTGGACATCGACGAACATGTAAAAAACAACTGCCTTTCCCTCTTTTCTGTGGGAAGGGGCCTCTTTTTCTGTGGGAAGGGGCGCACGATGAACCACGTTTGAAAGCAGATTTTCACTTGGACTGCTGTTCATGAACCAGCAGAAGTGCACACGCGCTTACCGTAGGCACCACGGAACTTTGAGTTGTGCGGACAGCGTAGGTGGAGGATGCGAAAAAAATTAGATTCGCTCCTGCTCTTGAGACCGCGGTGGCAGTGATGTAGGACAGCCGCGCACCTGCCGTGCGAGGAAGAAAAATGAAATGCTGCCCAGAGGCCCATCTTGGGTTTGAAATTGAAGACTGCACACGGCTCTCGGAATTTAAACGATCGGAAAAAACAAACGGGTATACGCGGGGCCATAATAGCAAGATTTCGGGTACGCCGATCTTGAGCGTATCCACCTACTTTCCTACGCTCATGGCAGTGATGCAGCACCTCTCAACAAGCCCAAATCACGCAGGTGTGTTGATAGTTTGGTTAGGGCCACGGTCAGATTATTAAGGCGGGTGGCCAGCAGGAGACCGCATTCACCCGTAAGGCGAACTGTGCGCGGCCTTCACGAAATCTGCAACATGCTCGAGAGGAGGGACACGGGTGATGCATGTCACCAGAAACGGGTACAAAAGTAACCACGGACGGGTACCACGGGACCCAGAAACGGCTACTCCGCATTCTTAGTTCCCGTCGGATAAACCCGGTTTTGTCTGACCAAAACTGGGTACCCGGTAGGATTTTTTAATTGAAAAGAGAATGCTGTTCCTAGAACTGGTCCGTACAGTACGGGGTATACCCATGTTTGGTTAGCTAAGTTACAAGTTTCCTTGGATGCCCCAGGTATTTGTATATGTTGTATATGTATATGTGTGTGTTTCCCGACTCAGGTGATCTGCGACGCGGACTACATCGTCACTGCCGCCTGCTGCAACACCCCGGGAAGCACCAACGTTCGGCAGGCATACAAGGAGGCCGAGTTCGACCAGCTTGTCGAGGGTCTTCCAGGCAACTATGACGTCGTGGGAGATACGGCTTACGGGGCAACGGACAAGATGCTTGTACCGTACCCAGGATGCGACCTCGACGCAGACCAACAGGCCTTCAACTTCTTCCAGTCGCAAGGGCGCATGTGCATCGAGCAGACGTTTGGGATCATGGTGAGTGTTGGCGTAGGTAGTTCGTGGGCATATCACGGGATCATTAGCCTGTTCGCGAATGGTGTGCACGATTGGTGACAGATTCAGCTGGGTCGTGTCATGTTTTTTATAGCACGAGAACAAAGTTTACAAAGTACATCCGGAGATATCGCACAAACATTGCTATGAAGTGGAGAGGTGGCTGTGAAATCGCGGGATACTTGATACCTGAACGCCCCCCCGCTCCCCGCCCTCGCCCTACATGTTGCAGATGAAGCAGTGGCCCATTCTGTGGAGCCCGCTGCAGGTGCATCTGCGCAACACCGCGAGCGTTGTGCACGCTATCACTCGGCTTCACAACTACCTCCGAAGGTGTCGTTCTGAACCGCCACCTGCCACCGCCCGGTTCTTGAATGAGAACGGAACCATCAGGAGCAACCGCTGGGCAACACCATCAGACTCGCGGAACATCAGGGAGAACATTCGGAATCGAACTTTCATGCGGCCGGCGGAAAACATCCCGCGAAACAGGCGATGGAGGACGGCCATCACTCGTCGTTGCACCGGCGAATGGTAAACTAGGGCGGGGGGGGGGGGGTACTCATAGTCGTGCATGCCGTAGTCGTTAGACCATTGACCTCGCATCCCTACAAAGCCGGGACGGAGCACGCCGGGTTCTCACCGGACCAGGCCCTCACATCACCAAGCGCGAAGCGCCGTGAGATATTCGGCGAGTCGCATGAAGGGTGCGCTGCATCCTGCTAAGGGTGTTCGGCATCTTGTGCTTACTTCCTTGCGTACGGATGACAGCTGCGAATGAGTTAATTTATTGGGAAACGGACACAAGTGGATATGCCCACCCCTTTCTCGGACAAAAGTGGGTACTGTACTCGATAATCCAGCGCGAGCGCACTCCATAGGCGGCCCCCAAACGACTCAAAACCCCATTCTGACACCTGCACGACACAGCCAGGCTGTACACAGCACGGGCATCGATTTTTTCCCACTTTCAGGCACACCTTTGGCCCTTATACCGCCGAGGCGCGCAGGGCCTCACCAGAGTGCCCACTTCTGTCCGACATCGTGGTGGGTGTACCCACCGGCGCCAACTAATTTTTGCATGTACTTATGTCTATATTTTGACGCACTTCTGTCCAAATTGTACCCACATCTGTCCACTTACGGACGGCCGAAATCGAGTGGAAATCGAGCGGAAATCGACCCCCACGTCACCGCACGGCAGAACATCGAATAGCCTCGGAATGTCTCAGAACCTCCCAACACCGTATCCATGGCATCTTTGGTATCCATGGCTGCCGACTGCGGACCGACCGCGGAGGAACATGTCAGACACATGCCAGGCCCCTTCGGTACCGGCACGGGAGGATGCCAGGCACGGGAAGTTGCCCGCGGCAAGCCCGGCGAGCAGCGCACTAACGGCAAACGCCACAAATAAATGCGTGACACACAACGGACAACAAAACCAACGGGCGCGCATACAGCAACAACACAAACACCAACCACCACCACGACGAGTGCACACCGACTCGTGAGGGCAGGAGCATGTCGATGCAGTTTACCCTGCAGGGCGCCCGCTCAGGGTCAAGCGCGGGCGCACCTCTGTCAACTGCTGGCGGCGCCATGGTTGAAGGGGCAACTTTTGCGACGGTTAGGTTTTGAGGGGATTTCAAGCCGGATATTCACTTCGTATTCACAATATGAATGTTGTGCATATGAATACCCTATTAATACGATGTTGTTACGTGGCAAACTGCATCGACATGCTGCTGCTGCCCTCACGAGTCGGTGTGCACTCGTCGTGGTGGTGGCTGGTGCTTTTGTGTGTGTGTTGTTGCTGTATGCACGTCTTTTTTGTTCTGTATGCGCGCCCGTTGGTTTTGTTGTCCGTTGTGTGTCACGCATTTATTTGTGGCGTTTGCCGTTAGTGCGCTGCTTTCCGGGCTTGCCGCGGGCATCTTCCCTTGCCTGGCATCCTCCCGTGCCGGTACCGAAGGGGCCTGGCATGTGTCTGATTCCTGAGACAGTTGCAAGCACTGTGTAACTGCCTCGAGGGTGCTTGACAATTTTCACACAACGTGGTGCGATCATCCCCCTAGCGCGGAGTGAGGGTTCTCGACCCCGCACAACACGATCTACTCGACCACTATT